CTACAGGTATGAACCACAACATCTGGCTAATTTTTCAAGTTTTTCTAGAGATGAGGTCCTGCTAAGTTGCCCAGGCTGGTCTCCCAACTCCTGGCCTCTCCCTAGAGGCCTCCCTAAGTGCTGAGATCACAGGTGTGGAGCCCGGCATCCTGCCGTGGATACTTACTTTGCTATCCTAGCCCTGTACCCCAAGGACTACCTAACTCATCTTGGTCCTTTTTAAATCTACTCAGTATTCAGTTTTACCTGATGAGATTGGGTACGTATTGTACCCAGTGTCTTCAGTTGTCTGTTTCTGTTTTCCTCCAATACTTTGCCTCTTCCTTGTGAGGATTTTACTGCTAATCACTTAATTTAGGGGGAACAGAAAGGGTTAATAAAATAACAAATGGGAGTAGGTAATTTTGTTTCCATCTGGTGTCAGAGTTCTTTGAATCATTCAGGGGTCCTCAAACTTTTTAAACAGGGTGCCAATTCACTGTCCCTCAGACTGTTGGAGGGCCAGACTGCAGGCCCCAGGACGAGTTGGCTGCTAAGCAGGACAGGCAGCGGCGGCAAAAACACCCGGCCAGCCAGATAAATGTCGTTGGCAGGCCACATATGGCCCGTGAGCTATAGTTTGAGGACGCCTGATTCTAGTTCCTGATTGATTTCTTTCAGGAGCTGTGAACTCAAGCTAGGGTGAGGCAAGTGATATAAATGAATGTGAGAGCAAGTAGCCCCCCCAAGAAGGGGCACCTGCCTGTGGGGCCACATGGGAATGGGATTCCAGAGATGCAGGAGACTAGCTTTTCATAGAAAGCCATAAAATTAAATTTTGAAAACATTGAGTCAGTGTTTTGTTATTGAGACAGTCAACAACAGTCTAGCACCCTGGGTAGAATGCGGTGGCACCATAGCTCACAGCAACCTCTAACTCTTTGGCTCAAGAGATCCTCTTGCGTCAGCTTTGAAATAGCTGGGACTACTGATGCCCACCACAACACCCAGCTAGTTTTTTCTGGTGTTAGTAGAGTTGGATTCTCGCTCTTGCTCAAGCTGGTCTCAAACTCCTGAGCTCAAGCAATCCACCCACCTTGGCCTCCCAGAGTGCTGGGATTATAGGCGTGAGTCACTGCACCCAGCCCCTGAATCAGCTTTTGAAAAAACTGCAATTGACGTCCAGTTTTATCTTTTACGTAGATTCTCCTCAGTCGGGTCTCTCCTTTCATGATTCATTATTCTCAACCATCTTGGGGTGTGTTGCGGGGAAGATCTTATCTCCTTAGGCTCATGTCCGTTTGCATCCTTTAAGTTCTAGTCAGACAGAGACAGGCAGCACACTCTTATTTCTTGATAAGAGCTTTAGGCCCTGCCAAGAAAATTCTCCTTTGGGCCATTCGTCATAACTCGTTTTGTTATTTCAATTTACTGACCGTTTCCTGAGTAGCCCCTGTGTGCCGGGGACTGTGCAAGAGGGAGACAGAGTCCAAGATTCTGATGGTTTTGTACAGGAAGTCCCCAGTGATAAACACCTGACTGGTGTAGGATTCACGCTTAAGAACAGAGGCTGTTACAGGTGATAGGTAATGTACCTGTTCCAACTTACAAACAAATTCAACTTAAGAACAAACCTACAGAACTTATCTCTTTTGTAAGCCCGGGCACCGCTTGTTCTGTGTACGTTTATGTGATCTTCATCATTCGGTATTGTTATTGACAACCTGCCACATTTTGTTTTGTTTCTCGATTCTTTTTTTTTTTTTGAGACGGAGCCTCAAGCTATCCCCCTGGGTAGAGTGCCATGGCATCACGCTCACAGCAACCTCCAACTCCTGGGCTCAAACGAGTCTCCTGCCTCAGCCTCCCAAGTAGCTGGGACCACAGGCGCCCGCCACAACGCCTGGCCATTTTTTGGTTGCACCCATCATTGTTGTTTGGCGGGCCTGGGCTGGGGATTCGAACCCGCCACCTTAGGTGTATGTGGCTGGTGCCTTAGCCACTTGAGCCACAGGCGCCGAGCCGTTTCTTGATTCTTAAAGTATTGCTCTTTGCAGCTGGAATAGCTGTGGTGATGGAATGAGAAATTAAAGAACTTGGGGTCAGAAAACCCCAGTTTAAGACCAACCCAGTTCAGGCACTTTCTTTAAGTGTGACCGTGTAGGAGTAATTCACATGCAGTGTGACTCAGTTTCCTTATTTATAAATGAAAATCATGCTCTTACTTAGAGGGTGGTTAATGTTAAATGAATAAAGGTATGTGGAAGTGTTAAGGATGTTTGTAAGGAATCGGTGTATCAAGTTCGAAATTACACTAAAATAAAAAAGTTACCGAATAATAAGAAAAACAGCCAGAAGGAAGCAAGGAGCAGGCCAGTCCCTTCTAGTTGCTGCTGAATCAGTTACTGTGTCACTCTGTTCAGTATGCAGCTTCCAGAAGGTGTCTACTTGGCCTGGCCTGTACCTAGTCCTTACACCTTCAGCAGGGCATGGTGGGCACCTTAACTGAGGTCCCAGCAAGATTGCAAGTAACATAAGAGGTGTGGTTCCTGCAGGGCAAGAGCAGGATGATGTTGCAAGAAAAAAGAGGTATGGATGCTGGATGGACATAAACACTGAGTGGATGTCCCAAGCACTGTGCAAAGCTGGGCATCCTTGGTGTGCGTGTAACAATTTGATAACAGACACAGAAGAGAATACCGCTAACTATCAGTAATGACTAGTACACTTGGGAGTTAAAGGGGGAAAAAAGAACAAGAATGCTTTGGAAAATAGCTGGCTTGTCCATTACTAAAGCTTAGCATCAGAAAGCGTGTAGATGCTTCCCAAATGTCCATTCACAATAGAATGGTAAATAAATTTTGATGTGTTCACACAATAGCCTTCACAGAGTTAGAATGGACAGTCTCACCTGGGTACAGCACTATGCAAATCTCTTGACCATAAAGAGAATAAATGAAGGCAAACGCAAAGAATATATACCAGATGATTCCATTTATAGAAGTAAAAAAACAGGCAAAACTAATCTCTGTTGCTAGAAGTCTGTAGCCTTATACAACATATGTTAAGTACATTATAATGGTTTATATATTAAAATACATTGTGAGGGTGAGAGGAGAAACTGCCTATTTCCCCTGAAAGTCACTGAAAGATCAACTCATAATTAAGGGAGATTAAGAGGAGGTTTATTTGCCACAGGCACGGGGAAAATCGCAGGAAGATTACCCAATATCACAATGGGATCCAGATATTTTTATACTCTCCTTTTGAGGAGAGAGAGAGAGCTGAGGTCATTCTATTTAATATTTAGGGGCAATAAATAGCTCCTAGGGAGGATGAATGGGTGGGGAAACAGACTGAGTTGTAAGTGATTCTTTTTGCAAATTAAATTAACCTTGACAGACAGATATTATGCTTAAAATGATTTGGCCCAGCTCTAGTTTCATTCTTGATTTTCTTTCCTGCAATATGGTGAGATAAGAGAGAAGAGAAGGGAAGTCAATTGTTCTTTTGATGAGTCCATCTGGTTATATAGATAGAGGGAAGGCTGCTTCCTAGGGCCTGTTATTCTCTAAGGGCCTTTAATTCAAAATACACTTTAGACCACAGAGTCATATTTTGAGCTGAAATTTCCTGAGCTCCTTCACATCCAGTTAAAAAATTAGTGATTACCTTGCAGGGCTTAGAATTATGGCTGGAAGGAAATAGGAGGGGAGGTTCTGGGGCTGGCCATGCTCTGGTTATTCTTATGGGTACTGGTTATATGGGTATGTTCAGTTTGTGAGATTTCATTGAACTAACATGCCTATAGTATATGAACTTCTCAGTGTATACGGTATTCTTAAATTTTAAAAAGCCTAACTTTCGACATGTATTAATACTCCCAACTTGATATCACATACTGAGTAGTTTAAGAGGTATGAGGTTGTGCTAATGTATATAACCTAATCTAAATGTTCATTTTTGCTTCTGCATACTCGTAGCCTTCAATAGCTTCCATAAATAGGTTGAGATTTTCTGTGAATTTGGTTGATTATATTAGCATTTTATGAGGATCACCTTTTTATTTATTTTTGAGACAAAGTCTCACTTTGTTGCTTTCAGTAGAGTGGCTATTGTCATTGCTCACAACAACCTCCAACTCTTGGGTTCAAGCAATCCTCTTGCCTCAGCCTCCTGAGTAGCTGAAACTATAGGTGCCAGTCACAATGCCCAGCTATTTCTTTTAGAGATGGGTTCTTGCTCTTGTTCAGGCTGGTTTCAAACTTCTGAGCTCAAGCAGTCCACCTGCCTGGCCTCCCAGAGTGCTAGGATTACAGGCAAGAGCCATTGCACCCAATGTATTTTTACTGTTTGGATTTGCTGCTATTTTCTTCTTATTCTTTTTTTTTTTTGAGACAGAGTCTCAAGTTGTCACCCTGGGTAAAGTAGCATGGCATCACAGCTCACAGCAACCTCCAATTCTTGGGCTTAAGCGATTCTCCTGCCTCAGCCTCCCAAGTAGCTGGGACTACAGATGCCCTCCATAACACCTAGCTATTTTTTTGTTGCAATTGTTATTGTTGTTTAGCAGCCCGGGCTGGGTTTGAACCCTCCAGCCCGGTACCACTGTGCTACAGGCATTGCCCTATTTTCTTTGACATAAAATCCCTACAGAGCAAAAACCTATTTTCCCCAGAAACTTGAGGTAAAATAGAAGGAAAAGGAAGAACAATAGGTATCCTTTGAGTTACAGTTTTAACTTGGTTTGCAGGAACACTGTTTCACCTGCTTTATATTCTAACTTTTGTTTAAATGCCTGCAAGCACATGTGGTGAGATGTGTGATCCCCACGAAGTCTTACTGCGAAGGTGAGCAGTTATCAGGAAGTGTGGGATGCAAGCAGACCTATAATTTGGTAGCACGGCTCATCCTGTACTCTGTCATTAAACCACAACTTACACAAGCACACATATAATGGTGGCTCCTTGATCCCTTTCAAGACAAGTGATGTACTCATATTCTTTGTTTGTTTGGGGTAGATTCTGCCGTTCCTGCATTGCCACCAGTCTAAAGAATAATAAGTGGACCTGTCCATATTGCCGGGCGTATCTTCCTTCAGAAGGAGTTCCAGCAACGGATGTAGCCAAAAGAATGAAATCAGAGTACCAGAACTGCGCTGAGTGTGACACCATGGTATGTGACCCCGCCCATGTTCATGGTTACTGGCGTAGTCCTTCAGAAAATGATCATTTCGGGTGGCGCCTGTGGTTCAAAGGAGTGGGCACCAGCCCCATATGCTGAAGGTGGCGGGTTCAAACCCAGCCCCGGCCAAAAACTGCAAAAAAAAAAAAAAAAGAAAGAAAGAAAATGATCATTTCCCCTCTGCGCTTGACTGCATCCTACCGAATTTTTCTGAAGTGTTTTATCTCAGCCTCCCCACTTCCTTTTTTCTGATTTCATGTATATTGGCTGCAAAAGTCCCCTGAACTGTCATCACCTAATGTTTTAAACAAATGCTTTCCTCGACCACCTCCATTTTCTCTTCTTCCCGTTACTCCCGTGACCCCATCATGTGGCATGATGTCCCAGCTACTCTGGGATACCCCACCAATAAATCATTTTGTCATCAAATCCTTTGGCGTGTTTCCACCTATATTATTTTGGACTTTCCACCTGTATTATTTATCTCTCCAGCACTTCCTCTTTATTGCAATTTTCCACCTTTGGTACTATACTAGCCCGGTCAGATCATATAATGTCTTAGAGGTCATGTAGAAGATTAGAGATTTTATCCTGAATACAATAGTAAGCCATAGAAAGAGTATAAGCGTTAGCGTGCCAAGATTGTTTTTATAGTTTTACGGTATCTTCTCTCTAACATATGCTTGGAGAATGGTTTGGAGTGAGCAAACGTGGAACTGACGAAAACAGTGAAGTAGCTATTATGATAGAGCAGGTATGGAAACTGAATTAGGGTGATAGCATTAGTTAGGGAATAAGAAGTTGTTGCAAGGTATATTTAGAAGGTAGAATTGAAGGAAATTGGTCATTGGATGTGGTGGTGAATGAGAGTAATGTCAAAAATGCCTGGAGCCATTAGCGAAGGTGCTAATATGGGGAGAAAATTTGGAGAAGAATCCACAGAGTTATGTTTTGGATATGTTCAATGAGCTGGCAAGAGTCTAGAGATCAAGAGAGATTATTTAGTAAGCATCTATATTTTCTTAGAGAGCCTTTCCTAATCATTTGTCAAAATTATAGCCCTGTTATACTTTGTCTTAGCAGCCTGTGCTTTTGATTTATACCAATTATCATCATTTAGAATTATGCTTCTGTGATTTTTGTTTATAATGTCATCTATTCCCATCATATTTGAGTTCTGTGAAGGTAAAGATTGTGTTTTAGTGACACTTATGTAGCCAGCACTTTGGAAAGTGATTGGCACATAGTAAGTACTCAATGCATTTCTCAATGCATTTCATTTGAATAAGACTCGCTCTGTTCATGGCTAGTAAGTGCTCAATGCATTTCTCATGCATTTCATTTGTATAAGTCTTACTCTGATCATGGCTACCTAACTGTAGAATTTAGACCTGGTCTTTAGAGTGAGACATCCTGGTTTTAAAACTGATTTTCTCACTTAGTCTTCATGATTTAGGGGAAGTTATTATTCTGAGTTTTTGTTTACCTCTTCTAAAATGAAGAAAAAGATGATGTTCATGTTATAGGGTGATTAGGAAGGTAAGTGATGTACGTGTGAGATATGTAAAAATAATACATATATATATATATATGTCTGATGGGTAGCTTTTAACAGGGTGTCTGGAACATAGTAGATGCTCAAAATCAATAGCCGATTACATTCTTCATAGATTATTGCTTGTTTTTACTTAGATGGTTTGTTACAAAATAAATTTCAACATGCACAAAATCAAACTCATCCTATTATTCTGTCATCCAGTTCTGGATCTTACCTTTGGTGTCTTCCAGAAACAAGAGCTTTCTCTCAGTTATCTTGGGTTGAAATCTTCTTCCCTGTTTTACTTTCCTTCCACCCCTCCCCATTTCTGATTAGTCACAAGGATTTTGATTTGTTCTTTTAGATACTTCTAACATCTATCTCTTTCTAGGTTACCCCTCTTTCAGGAAGGCTGCCCATTCCTTGGACAGCCCTTTTAGACTCTGTTCTTTAGTGTCCAGGCAGACCTCCGTTCCCTGAGGCTCGACCTTAATATCCCAGTTTCCTGTATCAGTTTCCTATCTACTTGTCTACACATCATTGTTTCTTTATTAGATTATAAGGGCCATTAGAACTGGCACAGTGGTTTATGTTTGTTCTGTTGTCTCTTACGATGTTTTAGATAATTTTGTGCCTAGACCATGCATCAATCAGTTTACTTGTCCTGTATAGTCCTCAGCTTATATTCATGAGGAATGCTTTGTTGAACAAAGAATCACAAAGAGAAATAAACTTTTATTAGCAGTAGTAAAGAGATGAGGGAACACTAATGTGGAAAGTTAGATGTTAAAGGTTGTAAAATGCATCTGTTTAAGACAGCCACTTAGATCAGTCCTAGTTTTTGTATCTTTCCATAATAGATGGATATCTGTCAAGCAAGCATTTTGATTTTACTTTTCCACTTGCTTTTATTTTGCCTTTTGTTAAACGATTTTAACTGTTTTCTTGACGGGGTAGATTTCGTCTTTGAGGTTTAACTTCCGTAGCTTGTGCAAAATGAGGCAAAGTGTGTCGGCCACCTTACCACAGCTATACAAAGCTTCCTTTAGCACAAGATCTTATCAGAGTTCTACTGAAGCATTTAGTAGAATATGTGTTATGTTAGCGACAGATCCCTCATAGTTAGGATCTGTGAATGTATATCTGGAGGAACAAGGGCTCCTTATTCTGCATTGATAAAAACGGACTGCAAGAGCTGTCTTTTATGTTTGCTGTTAATGGAGCCATTAAGTATACTGTGTATTGTGAATTCATGTAATACGACTGGGTATATTACAAAACCATGGCATTTATGTCTTTCTCTAAGGCATAAGGGTTTCTTTTAACTTGCTATGGACCTTTCGAAATTTCATCTATTTATTCTTTTTATCTGTATTTCTTTTCTGTTTCTTTTTCCTCCTAATTTTTTTTCTTCTTTTCATCCTCTTGCTCTCTTTTTCTTCATCTGTTTTTCTTTCCCACTTTCTTCTTCCTAAAACCTCTTTATGTAGTTGCATGAAAGGTAAATTTGAGTTCCTATGCATCTTTTCACTTAGAAAAAAAAACCATATATATATATATATATATATGCTTTTTTTAGATAAACCAAATTCAAAAACTCAACATTTGGGTCTTCTAAGTATTGGAGAAATTTGAAAATGGGATCATTCTTGATACTGCCTTAACTTTGTGGTACTGTTGTCATGAATGCATTCATTGAATCAGTTGACCCCACAATATGACCTTACTTGAAAGTTATAAAGCCAGATTACGTAAGACTTCACTGAGCTCCCTTTTGACAGTGAATTTATTTTGAATATTCTCTTATATAGGTTTGCCTCAGTGACATGAGGGCACATATAAGGACTTGTCAAAAGTACATAGATAAGTATGGACCACTACAAGAACTCGGGGAGACAGCCACAAGGTTAGTTTCAATACAATTTAGTTTAATAATAAATTTCAACTTCTCTATAAAAAAATTAATGGGCTAGAAGGTTTAACATTTTATTATTAAAATGTTTATGTAGTTATGTTTCAGTTCTTACCCTTAATACTTGGTATTGTAATCATGTGTTAATATCAACCATTGTCAAAGAATTTTGCTTTACTTTAAAAACTGCATTCAGGGAACCAAACACGCACTGGAGAGATGGGGGAGATGTCCTCAGACAGATTTGTATTAAGGAAGATCCAAGAATAAAATGCAGAACTGTTACATTTCTGCTTGGCTGTGTTTTCTGAGTGATTGACTCCTGAAGTAGGTCATAATTGAGATTATTCAGTTCTCAATCTCAATCTTGACTCTTCCATCAGCACTGCTCATTTCCCAGCTCAATCCTTATCATTTTGCTTATTCCTTTTTAGAAGCAGGAAGCCGCCTCTCGGTATATAGTCTAACAGGGGAAGAACAGGACTGGGCAGGCCCCCTGAATCCTTTGCTTTTCTTGTGCAGTCTTATGGGGGCTGGAGGAAGGATGGAGGTGGCTGGTAGACATAATAGAGGATATTGAGCATTAATATTTTTTTTCTTTTAAAATAAAAACCGCCAAATATAGGTCATTACTATTGTGATTGCAAAGGTAATATAAGCTGTATGTGACCAATGATAAAATTTGGAGTCTACCTCTATCAACAAGATAAAGAAATGATTTGTGTGCTCCTACATTATAGGTTAATGGCCTTGAAACCATTAAATCTGCTTATGAATTCATTTACCCCAGTATTGGTATTCAGTATGTTGTAATTTCTTTTTCTCTCCCAAAGAAAAATGTTAGTTCTGCCCATTTTAATAAATTATATTCAAAATATAGCTTACATTTCTTAACCTAAAGTCTAAATGGTCTTCCCATTCCTTTCGTTTCACCAAGAAATTGCCTTGCAAAGGTACCTGTTATTATATCTGTATACCATGATATAATACCTTTTTCGTGAGTCTTTTAGCTATAGTCTTTAAGCAGAGTGGGAATCCTGTTAGGCTGACTACAAGAACCAATAGGAAAGAAAGATAGAACATAGGTTGAGAAAGTGTGCGTGGGGTTTGATTACAAAATTGATAGGCTTTATGAAAATTTAAAAAATACATGAAAGCTAATTGGAATCCTAATTACTTCTGCTGGTGAGAATTAAATAGGAAACAATTAAAATAATAGAAATGAGGAGGGTTGTTGATTAATCAATCTTGCAACATAGATTAATATTAGCCTTTATTATGATAGAAGTCTTTCCTTTTTGGAAGCATTTTCTACGTGATTCAAACTTAGAAAACCCTCATGCATGAAGTGTGTCCAGAATGCAAGACCTGGGGGATAGTAAGTAATATGTATAGTGGAAAGTGAGCAAAAAGATCTGAGACTCCATATTGTCCCTGAGCATTTAAGGCAGTACCATCTAATAGAAATATAACAGTAATGTGGATCACCTGTAATTTAAACTTTTCTAGTAACCACATTAAAAAATAAAAAGAGCCCATTGATTCTGTAATCCCATTACTGGGCATCTACCCAAAGAAAAAAATATCCTTTTATAATAAGGACATTTGCACTAGACTTTTTATTACAGCTCAATTTACAATCATCAAAATGTGGAAACAGCGTAAGTACCTACCAACCCTGGGATGGTTTAATAAGCTGTAGCATATGTATACCATGGAATACTATTCAGCCACTAAAAAGATGGTGACTTTACACCTTTTACATTAACCTGGATGAAGGTATAATACATTCTTCTTAGTAAGGCATCACAAGAATGGGGAAGCAAGACTCCAATGTATTGTATTCTAATATGAAGGCAGTAGGTGAGCTAAGACAAGGAGGGGTGTAGGGGAATGAGCAAGTGGGGAGAGGGCAGGAGGAAGGGGCTCATGGTGTATGGCACACCTCTTGAGGGTGGGACACAATTATAAGGGGGATTTTATCTAACAAATGCAATCAGTATAACCTAATTCTTTGTACCCTCAATGAATCCCAAACAATAAAATAAATAAAAAAAAATTTCTTTTAGAAAGTAAAAAGGAGCCAATTGTGGTAATCCTAGCACTTTGAGAGGCCAAGGTGGGAGAATTGCTGGAGCTCAGGAGTTTGAGACCGGCTTGAGCAAGAGTGATACCCCATCTCTACTAAAAGTAGAAAGATTACCCAGGCATTGTGGTAGATGCCTGTAGTCCCAGCTACTCAGGAGGCTGAGGCAGGAGGATCACTTGAACCTAGGAGTTTGAGGTTGCTGTGAGCTAGGCTGACATCATGGCACTGTAGCCTGGGCAACAGAGTGAGATTGTCTCAAAAAAAAAAAAAAAAAAAGAAAGAAAGAAAGAAAGAAAAAGAAAAAAGAAGCAGGTGAAATGAACTGTTAATGTATAGGATTTTATTTAACTGAATATCCACAAATATTATCATTTGAATATCTAATCAATATAAAAATTATTGAGATACGTTGCATTCTTTTTTCTGACATTAAGCCTTTATTTTTTGTTGTTCTGTGTGTGTGTTTGAGACTAGATGTTGCTCTGTTGCCCAGGCTAGAGTGCAGTAGCATCACCATAACTCACTGCAGCCTTAAACTCCCAAGTTCAAATGATCCTCCTGCCTCGGCACACACCCTCCCCACCCCCTGCACATATCACTACACTCAGCTGATTTTTATATTTTTTGTAGACACAGAATCTTGCTGTGTTGCCCATGCTAGTCTTGAACTCCTGGCCTCAAGCGATCCTTCTGCCTTGGCCTCCCAAAATGCTAGGATTATAGACATGAGCCACCATGCCCAGCCAAGCCTTTAAAATTCAACATGTATTTTATATGACCAGGATATCTGAATTTAGACTAGCCACATTCCAAGTACCAGTTAGACAAAAAAGGACAGCACAGATGTAAGGGACAAATATTCTTAGTGTAAGTAAGAATTTTTTTGTTTAAAGGCGAGATCTTGCCATTTTGCCTGAAGTCGGGTGCAGCGGCTATTCACAGGTGCAGTCATAGTGCATGACAGCCTTGAACTCCTGGGTGCAAGTGATCCTTCTGCCTCAGCCTCCCAAGTAGTTGGGACTGCAGGCATGCCACTGCACCTGGCTGTTTTTCCCACCATAAAGATTTAACAAGGTAGCTGTGGGCCAAGTTTTATCCTTCAGTTGAAAGTAATAATGTGAATTGTATGCCAGTGGATTTGGAGAACAAATAACACCAAATTCACATGTTACCAGAATTAGAAGAAAAAGGCAATCCAGGAATTGCTGGAATTCTCAATTTCTCAGTTAACGGGTGCTCAGATTACACATCTCTCCCAAAGAGAATAAAGTGCTTCACATGCACTGTAAACGTTTCTCCACCGTGACCCTGTGAGCATGCACTTGTACATTTCTCATGGAAAAAAATGTAGGCAGCAACACCATTATCGGGACAGGAAAAATAATATTAAATCAGGGAGAGAACTAGGACTAGAAACTAGACCCACTTACCTTCTATTTTTTTATTCCTCGTTCAGTGACTACTACTTAGTTGCCAATTTGAGTAATATTTGTATTGTATGCAATTTCCAGGTGTGTATGCCCGTTTTGCCAGAGGGAATTGGATGAAGACAGCTTGCTGGATCACTGTATCACTCATCATAGATCAGAAAGGAGACCTGTGGTAAGGATTTTTGTTTCATGCATTTTAGGAAAGTCTGACTTTGGGGATTTTTTTTTATAGATATATTGTAAAGGATAATAATTTATGTTGAATCTATGACTGTTTACAATATGCAGAAGGGTTGAGTTGAAGCTGTTGAAAAGTATTAATATGCAGTCGCTCTTTCATTTATAAAATTACACTTGCTCTCTTACAGGTAAACATGAGCATAATCAACGAAAACGATCCAAAACGTACCCTTAATCAGTTAAGGTTTAATTTTAGAATCCTAACTGTGCTCATATCCCAAGGTAAAAACATTTTTAAATGATGCAAATGATGTTATTATGACAATACCTTACACCTGAAAAGTAGTTATTATTCCATCTTCATTAATCTGTTATTTTATTTCACAATCAGCATTTATCCCTGTGCTCACGTAACTAATGTACATATTGCTCAGCATTTCCTAGATTCATTGTGCATGCTGCCTTTTTTCGTTTTAACTTGGCATTAAATTCTATTTTTCACTGTGGTTTTTATGATTTTTGGATAGTTGTAGGGTAGAGCAGAGTGGGGACATTCATGTTCACTGACTCCTTTTACTACTGGTTTTGGACACTTGTACTGCTACTCATGTTTAGGATTTGAATTCATGTTTTTATACGTTTAAACTTGTCCTTATATTAGATTTTTTTCCTAGGAGGAAATTCCTTAGGTTGCTATTTCTGGGATCAGTAGTGCAGACTTTTTTTTTTTTTTTTCAGACAGAGTTTCACTTTGTTGCCCTCGCTATGGTGCTGTGGTGTCACAGCTCACAGCAACCTCAAACTCTTGGGCTTAAGCGATTCTCTTGCCTCAGCCTCCCAAGTAGTTGGGACTATAGGCGCCCGCCATAATGCCTGGCTATTTTTTGTTGCAGTTGTTATTATTGTTTAACTGGCCTGGGCCAGGTTTGAACCTGCCACCCTCAGTGTATGTGGCTGTAACCTTAACCACTGTGCTAAGGCATTGAACCAGTAGAACAGACTTTTAAATAGGTCTTGAAATGTATCTCTAAAATGTTTTCCTGGTAGTGCCCGTGGCTCAGTGGGTAGGACACCGGCCACATATGCTGAGGTGGCCAGTTTGAACCTGGCTGGGGCTGGCTGAAAACAACAATGACAACTGCACCCCCCAAATAGCCAGGCATTGTGATGGACTCCTGTACGCCACAGCACTCTACCCAGGGTGACATAGTGAGACTCTGTCTCAAAATGAATAAATAAATAAATAAATGAAATAAAATGCTTTTCAAAAAGTTTGAGCCATTTTGTAGTTTAAGCCAGCTTATAGTAAACCACTTTCACCTTAACCTGGCTATAGTTGAGTCCATTTATTTCAAAATCACCCTGACTTAAAATATAAAATGATACTTCAAGCATTACTTCGTATTTGATTTTATGTTTTTTTTTTTTGAGACAGTCTCACTCTATGGCTCCAGGCTAGAGTGTCATGGCTTCATAGCTCACAGCAACCTCAAACGTCTAGGCTGAAGTGATCCTCTTGCCTCAGACTCCCAAGTAGCTGACACTGCAGCCACCCTCCAAAACACTCCACGAGTTTTTTTTTTTTTTCCTATTTTTTTGTCCAGACTGGGGGGAGGAGGAGGTCTTACTCTTGCTCAGGGTGGTCTCGAATTTTACCCATCCAGAGTGCCAGGATTACAGATGAAGCCACTGCACCTGGCATTGAATGTTATTTTAGCTTTATACAATATATATATGTATGTGTGATTTTTTTTTTTTTAAGTTTTAGAGCTTTCTTTGGATAAAATCCTTTTGGAAAGTGGATGGGATTGAAACACGAGTATATCAGATAGACAGGTAGAGAGAGAAAGATACAGAGATAATCCTCACAGCGATCCTGGGAGATGGTCGTGAATGTTACCCTTCATTTTACAAATGATAAACTGAGGCTCCAAGAGGTTAAGCCAGTCATACAAGGTCACACAGCTGGAACCGTAGCAAAGTCAAAACTTGAGCACAGTAGTCTAGCTCCAGAACTGTGTGGCATTCACCTGTTCAGAGAAAAACTACACACCATACAAAGATATTTGCTTTTGATCTCAGTGTCCTAGGGGGGTGGCAGGTGGAACAGCAAGCCAGGGGCTTGATAGGTATTGGGAAGAACATGTATGAGGGGATTTTCCTGCTTGAGTTGTCCTGTAAGAGGAACTGGGCTGGGGAGTTGTTTCATGATAGGTCCCTGGGAGCCAGAGGGAGTTCGAAGAGAGCATTAAGATGGAATGATAACAACCACCATTTACTCAGGTCTAAGTGCTTTCTTGTCATCTCCTCTCCTAGCAACCCTGTGAAGGGCATTATCAGCACAGCCTGCGCCCTGACCATTAGTGCCCAGCGTGCTGCTCTGGCTGGAGCAATGCCAGGCTCTCTGGTTTATTATCTTGGTCTGCGTCTGAGCAGCAGTCTGGGCAGCCCCATACTGGTCAGTCCGATGGTCTTCCTGTATGCTTGTTCCTGCAGAAGTCCAGCCCATGTGCCACTCAGTTTGGCCATCAGATGAAGGTGGCCCAGGCAGCTAAGTCCCTCCTGATTTAGAGGTCATTGAGATCGTTGAGGAAAGCTGGCTTAAGCAGGGGAAACCCACAGACTAACCTGAATCTTTGAATGAAATGAATATGAATCTTTAGGATTTCTTATTACCCACCGACTTTAGTAGTTAAATTCTAGGCTTTGGAAAGGTTAGGCTTAGGTTCAGCTCCCAGAAAGTCTATTAATTCCTCTTTGCCCCTGTTTCACCATTTGTAAAATGGGGCTGATAATAATAATGGCTTTTTCACAGCTAGTGGTGAGTCAAGCGTCGATGTCACATGGTCATCTGTCCATAAATAGAAGACGGTGATGGTGATAAGGGTGGTCACAACATCTTATCAATTATATAAAACCAGGTCTGGAGAAGATTTCTCAGAGGAAGTGATACATGCTCACATTAGGGGAACTCACCTCACACATGGAGTAAGGGTAGAAGTGGGGGAAGAGAGGAGGGCTGAGGAGGTAAAATGGTAAAATTATACCCCAAAGGCCAGGATGTTATCATGGCCTTGAAGCGAGAGCAGATTGTTTAGAAATGCTTATAATACCCTGGGACTGTCTAGAAGTGTTGTCTGGGATAGGAGACCTGCAGGTGTTTTGAGCAGAAGCCCAAGACACAAGTCACTCTGAGGGATCTAGAGCACTGGAGGTGATGATGTACCCTGTGGTTGTGAAAGGACGGGAGCATGCCATAGCTTGGGTTCACATGGTCAAGGATCCCTACTGGGGACACATTTAAAACAGCCCTGGGGAAGGATGATTGAGTCCAGGGCTAGTTCTGAGTCAGTGAGGATTTTTGCTTTAGGCCAGGTGCAGTGGCTCATGCCTGTAATCCTAGCACTCCAGGAGGCTGGGTGGTGGATTCTTTGAGCTCAGG